ACAAACATACATACATTTTATTTAATCCTCCTTATCCCTTTAAACACTTAAACGTCGGGAACAGCTTCTTATATTTATTGCAATCAATAATCAATACTCACCCGGCACTGATGCAGAACTGGCCTCTGTAAAAACAAAGACAGAGAAAAGACAGTTTTTATTAGAAAACTTACATTTTGTATTTTAAACAAACAAACAAAAAAAATCTATACTTCATCATGCCTTGTACGTCGTGTTTATTACACCTTTATTATATCCTCCTTTTTAGCCTTATGGTATTTGTGTAATCATACTTCCATGTTGCATCTCTGTCCAGATGCTGTCAGCTTCTTCTGAGAGATCAATAAAGCTTATGTTGTTTTAAAAAAATTGAACACTTAAATAAAACTAATAATTTGTGCTGCTTTTAATCACTTCATAATTAGTTTATCTTTGGGCTACTAAATTTATAGTTCATCTTTTTGAAGTCACTTCTTAAAACACATTTCTATCGGAGAGCTTTTCCTGATTTTATTAAAGTTTTATGTTTTTTTAGCTTCCTACTTTATTTGTGTGCTTTCTACTTTTATCAGTTATTCTTTGTGCTTATTGTATTTCTAATTTATTTTTATTGAAAGGGACTTTGTAACATTTGTTTTGAAAAGTGCTCTATAAATAAAGTTTATTATTAATTGGCTAAAAATATACCACAAAGCTACATAAATATGTATAAACACATATTTTAAAAGTGCATTATCAATATTAAACTGTTTATCAGGTCATAACAGGGTCTCTAATGTGACCTTGTTTTTGTCATGAACTCTGCCCTAATGTTGAGAACAAAATTTTATTTTAGATGCACGATGAAGATCTTCACCAAACAGATTCCTCAGCTGCCCCTCAGGAGGGTATTTCTAGTCATAAAGTTCATCCATTATAAGCATCTATGACTTGCAAGACGCTTCATTTTGTTGCTGTAACCAGAGTTTGAAGTCAGTTACTCAAGTCCGGGTCATCTGACTCCAGCGCACACCGCCTCGCAAACACACTCACTCTTGCGCAGTATCCTGAAATCGTCGGAGTCCAGGATTTGCTCGTCCTCTCGGTACCACATGACCTGCAGGGGCGGAGTTCCCCTCAGCCTGCACTCCAGCACCACCAGCTGACCCTTCACTGTGGACACATCATGGAGGCACTGGGAGAGGAGATGATGGCGATGCAGATAGACGAGAGGAAGAGAAAGACTGACATTAAAACAGATTCATGGAAAGATTCTGCTCTGTACAAATGTGAAAGTTTATGTTACCTTAACAAATGTAGGAGCCACCCCAGTCCCTGAATACTGCTGATTGTAGATGGGACTCTGAGTCTGGACACAGAAAAAAAACATCCATTTAATCTCATTTGTTTGCTAATTATTTTTGTTTATTTGCATGACGGCTGTTGCACCTGCAGCATTTCAGGGAATTAAAGTTCCATTTGTCATTTTAGACGACATATTTAGCGACGAGAGGAAGTGATTCATTGTGATTACCGTCTGAGGGCTGACGCGCAGCGGCTGCACCAGGCTGGAGTGTCTCTGGGCCAGCAGGCTGGAGGAGGACGAGCTGGAGGAGAGGGAGGAGAGCTCTCGAGAGGAGGA